TGTTGAGGTCAATTCAGCAAAACTACGCTCATAAACAGTGATAGATGATTCGGTTCTCGAAGAATGTCGACAGCGTGTGAATTCACGCAGAGGTAGGCCTTTTCTGAGTGATCAAAGTGATCTTTATTTTATCAACTTGTTATGGAATACAAGGATGACGTTTTTAGTGCGAGCCGCCCTCTGGTCTTCCACCTTGGGTTGCTAGACGCATGAGTATAAAGACATTATAGTCGTGAATTAATATTTGTTTCGATAGAATTAGGCTATCAAGCTTGTTTATAGCTTAGCTACGCCAAGGCTATTGGTTCCGTTCCAGCGTGGAGCATACGAACTCAACCTTTTGCGTTCGTAAACGCTGACTCTTTAATCTGAGAATTCCTTCATTGTGTACTCATTACAAAGCACAAGAGATGCTGTTCTATTGCATACGGCACCTCTGTATAAAGTGAGTACACAAAAATACAGCACGTAAGTGACACAAAAACCTGTTGAAGGCGCGATCTGATTATTGCATTGTTTGATTCAGTTAATTGGGGCAGCTTAAATTCGGTCACCACTGTACAATACATATTAACGGCTATTCGGGTGTTCAGAGGTACTGTTAGGACAGGACGTTGACATACACGGTACGCTTCGTAATACTCGAGGTAATTTTGCACGTATATAACATGCCATCCATCACCTTTGGTATTAGTGTAACAAATTTTTTCGAACCCCATTTTAAGGCACGTATTTGATGATCGATAATTTTATTTTTGTTGAGTCCAGCAAATAATTGTGAGTTACTTCAGCACAAGAGACACCATTTAACGTATACCTCAAAAATTGATACGTTGTAATAAATGCAAAATGACCACAAACATTCCATCTATTTGAAATAGCTGAACGTATCGAGTTCTTTACTTATGTTAAAGGGTAGTACAAGTACAGCTTTCAGATGTGCCATATAATTACAACACAATGATGATAGGCGAGCACAATTCTTGTCGAAATACGAAACGACATGTTTGGTGAGCTACAGGTACTGCAAATTCAGGCAAAACTTATAGCCATTTCTGGCGCATGTTGATTATACGGGGCTCGGCTTGAGGCATAATCTTAGGCTTGAAGTCGGCAATTGCATCGATCTTCTCGCGAATCTCAGGCGTGATCTTGTCCACAAATTCCATGCCTTTCAAGTTTTCATCTAGCTGCTTGATGCTGGTAGCCCCAAGGATCACCGTGGATACGTGTGGGTTGGCCGCCACCCATGCGATCGACAGTTGCGCCAGCGAGCAGCCAACTTCTTTAGCCACTTCAGCTAGCTTGTCTGCCTTAGCTACCTTTTCGCTCAATCCATTTGAAAGCAGATCTTTGTACACGGGCAAGGATAGGCGCGAGCCTTCAGGTATACCCTTGCTGTATTTGCCTGTGAGAACGCCGGACGCTAACGGCGACCACGTGGTGAGGCCGTAGTTGTACTTTTTGTACAACACATCGAAGTCGTGCTCAACACGCGACCGCTCTAAGATGTGGTACAGGGGCTGTTCGAAAACAGGACGGATCAAACCAAGGCGATCAGCGATCTCGCATGCCTCAATAATATCCTTCGTGCACCACTCACTAGTGCCCCAGTAGAAGGCCCAACCTTGCTCAATGACAAAGTTCATAGCACGCACGGTCTCCTCGATAGGCGTAGCGGGATCTGGGCGGTGACAGAAAACGAGGTCCACGTAGTCCAAATCAAAACGCTTTAATGATGCCTTCATGCCTTCCACGATGTGTTTACGGCTATTGCCCGAGTTGTTAGGGCCCGCTTTGGTACCAAAAAAGAGCTTGGTGCTGATAACAAGGTCCTCGCGGTCCCACAACTTGCGTTCAATGCCAGCCTTGATTACTTTGCCCATAATAATTTCGGCCTGGCCATTGGCATACAGCTCGGCATTGTCAAAGAAGTTGATGCCATTTTTGTAGGCGTGCTCCATGATACAGTAGGCCTTCTCAAAGTCCAGCTGCGAGTCAAAGGTCACCCAGCTACCAAATGACAAGCGGGAGACTAGTAGGCCAGTATTGCCCAGAAATCGATACTTCATGTTGTGCGTAGGGGCAGCCATCGGTCTTCCTTATATCTTCGCCTTTTGGTGTTGTGAGCGAATTGGATAATGATAAAAAATCATGGAGATAAGTCTGAAAGCAAATGCTGCAAATATATTGCAAATTTATGACAGGTCATTAATTAAAAAATCAGCGACGATTGCATTGGGAAACTGTGTTAAATGAATCCTAGTCAAACTCATTTGAGCAGTTGTGGGCGCAAATTCGTAGAGCGACGATTCGAGTGACCCAATCCCGCATTCGCTGAATATAATCTCGACGCTTGTAGAGTCCGAACGTTTTGAAGTCGAAACAGAAGCACCTCGTAATCATCACGAGGATTATGTCCCTTGAAGAAGGCATATTTTTTCTTTAAAATAAAAAGGGCTAGGCTCGAAATCATTGGAAGATGTCTGTGTAATCAAAATAATTATTATATGTTAAATTTGGTATATGCTATATTCTTCAAGTCATAAAAGTCTAAGGATGTCAAATTTTCTATATAGTAATAGGGAATTTAAGAAATTCTTCAATCTGCTCCACTAATAGATCAGAGCTGGTAGAGCATGACTTGAACCATGTCTGTCCGGCTGTCAAAAAATAAAGAGTACAGTGCAGCCTAGTACTAATTAACGGTGCGTTCCGGTATATGTGGTCAAAGGTGAAGACAATATGTAGTGGGCAAACGAGAACAACTTAATTCTTTTGCTCAGGATGTAAAAAACGGGGAGCGTATCGTATCATGTTGTACGTTCACATTGTATCAATGTGCTTACTTCAGAAAAACCGAAGTGCTGCCATTATGAGGATGATTGGACTTTGCAAAGGCAAGGTCTGCGGGACACGTGAGCTGCTAGCCTCACGGCGTGCAGTAACATCGAACGCAGCACATAAGACAGAATGCATTTGGTTCCTCTCTATTTCATAGGCTATATACCTCTAAGCCTATTGTATGACTGCTATTATTGCATAGTATTGCTGTTGAAATCTTAATTTGATAAAATTGTACCGATTATTGCATAGTGTTGCTGTTTTGGTACAATTTTATCAAATTAACATTTCAATTCGACGAAATTTTGCACTACGTGTACTTCTGTGTAATTGGGAGTACTCAAATAGGGAATATAATCATACCAATACTTTGGTACATTTGAGTATGTACTAAAAGAGAGCTCTGTGGTACTCGTGAGGTTCTAACTGAACGTCAAACATATAACCAGCTCGATACAAAATCATATTATTGTGAATAATGTCAATATTAGTTACATGTATTCTTGAAATAGCAAAATACTCTCGGTAACTAATGAGGTCAAATGCTTTCGCGTGAAGCGTACAAATACAACCTTTGTGCGGATGTGAACGCGGACTTGTTGAGTGAAAGCTTACTCTGAGAGAAGTGCACGACAATTCCGTTGCACTTGGTAGCATTTTGATCAATCTTACAACCAAATCCTGGTACAGTGTATCCTCTGCGAAGGTGGAATATGGGATGATCAAGTACCTTTTCCTGGAATAAGTGGACGAGCTTTAAGAAGCTTATGACTGTATTCCCATTTTGACGAGACCAAGGAATGGTTTTCTAAGAGCCAGATGCGGTGATTGCTCCCCTGGAGGCACTCAATCAGCTATGGAATTGCGCTGGTTCGACACCATCAGAAGCGCCCCAAACAACAGGGCGCCCGTCAGAGAACAGTGGCACCCGCCAGGAGACCGCTGATGTTGATCGTCTAGACCTTTCAGGCTGCGACAAAATAGCTTAAATTTTTTCGACACATGAAGTTGATATGATCATAGATTCGGTCAAGCTACCAGCAACGCAGCAGCGCTTCGTGCTTGCGATCATTAAGTTATGAAGCCGCGTGCGAAAAGTAACTAACGTGCTATACCTCTATCTTGAGAAGTTTCAAAATTAAGGATCTCGCCTCAAAGTTTTGTTTTGTGAGAATACTGGATGTTCTAGCTTTGCGCGCCGCCTCCCTAATTCTCGGCTGAGAATTAGGAAAGGCTAGGCTCTTAAGCAAGAACGTCTTATGAAACTCTTACCTAAAACGTTAGGCTTCAGTAGGTGTGGTATGGCCTGTTACAAAAGAACTGCGCTTTATTAAGTGTGATTGAACTCGTAGTCAGTAAAACCCAATTCTAAAAAGCCCTCTCTACTAGAGTTATCTATGATTTGATTGCTCAGCGTTCGGAGGTTTGAAGAGCTTTAGAATGCCGTGATAGCTTCAGCAATTTCGCACAATGTAGGGTTGTCAAATATAGGCGACTGTAACGGGGTTACACATACCCTGGAAACAGGGGTGTGTGTCACGCCAGATGGGCATGGTGTGACCACATCCAAACAAGAATACGGTACGGGGCTAATTAGCCAGTAGTTATAAATGTATTTAGATACATATTTGGGAAAATCTTTGCATTTAAAATTAGGTGGCTTTGCCGCATATAAAAATAGATTGATTCAGCTTTGGTTTTAAACGGAAGAGTTAATTAGCATTGGGTTAAGGCTATAATTACTCTTGAAGTAAGCGAATTGCGATCTGCTAAACTCGTACTTTTTCTAAGTATAGAGCGAAAGGTCGGTGACCTAACTTACGCTTCCTCAAAGCGCAAAGCTACGGCTGCCCCGCTGCACTTTTAGCACTTGTAGTCAATCTACACCTGAGTCGTTTTGACTGATCCTCTGTGAGGATGTATAGTTTTCCTCTTTGCCCCAGGGCATGCAGGACAGGCTTAAGAAGCTGATGTCCTTGCTGGGCTCTGAGGGCGTGCAACACTTTGCTGTGCAAGACCCCGAGGCAATCGATGCGCGTCTAGAGGCGTTTTCGAATTACGAAAATGCGCCGCTAGAGCACCTGCAGCAGAAGATGTCTGCTTCATTTGCGGCTATGACGTCACCGTCAGTGGCGGATGAGTTTCCCCGACCTAAGCCGCTCATTGGGAGCGTTAAGGTCTTCGAGGGGAAGAACGGAGAGAATCTCCTGCTCTGGGTGAGTGAGATCGAGATGGCCATCGCCTCCGCCATGCTCCAAACCGAGCAACAGCACGTGGCGCTAGCCATTTCAAAGTTCGGTGGTCGACGCGAGCGGTCGAAGCTGCGTTTCCCTCCTGGGCGGAGATGAATTTGCAGCTCTCACGAGTGTTCTCGCCGCCTAACCAGGCAAATCGCGTGCGATCGCGTTTCCTTGCCGCCCGACAGGGCAACAAGGCATTGGTGGACTTTGTCCAAGAGATGCATACTCTCATTGCCAAAATGGCAGAAGATTCCCTTCCTGAGGTGGTCACAGTGACCGTCTTTATGGATGGCCTCCGCACTGGCGTGGCCAGAATGGAAGTCTTTTCTTCATTTGAAGAGGCGGTGAATGCGGCATTGAATGCCGTAATCAATTTCAAGTCGGCACGACTTGATTGGAATGCACACTCCAACAGCTCCAACAGCTTGTCGAGCGGGCCTGTGCCCATGGATCTCTGCTATGCTGTCCGCCTCGAAGCTATGCCTGCAGTAGATGCTCTTCTTCAGCTGGACGAGATGTTGCCTTGAAAAGTTCGGCAGTGCCTTTCAGGCAGGCGATTTGGCCGAAGTGGTCATTGTACGACCGGACGAGGAGAGAAACTCGTCATCGCATCTGGATGAAGCTGTCTTGGAGGACAACAAGAGAGTGCTGACCGAACGAAGTGGATCGTCGATTTTCTGAATCTCTTGAATCCGTACTATCCTTTGGTAAAGGAATATCAAGACGTCGTCTCCGAAGATCCGCCTTCAGTCCTACCTCCGGACTGAGGTGTGCGTCATGAGATCGACCTGGTTCTGGGAACCAAAACGCCAATGGCCCCTGCCCAAGGGGCAGTGCGACGTCATTGACGCCTTTTTCTGTGCGAAGCACGACGCAGGGATGGTACGT